GAAAATTAATGTAATCAAACACACCCTAAATGAATGGATTTTTTATTCTGATTGTACCTTCCTTATGTGTCCTATGGAAAGATGCGATTTGTTGAATTTGTTGACCTAATTGATGGACAAGTTCATATAGGAAATGATATAAGTTGTCAAATAAAAGAGATAGGGAGACTTAGCCTTTTACCAAAAAGTAATCACATTCTTGAATTGGTTGAAGATATCTTGACTTGTAGAGAAATCTAATTTCTTTAGGTAAGTTGGATGATGAATATAATATAAGAATTAGTAAGGATTTTACCAAAAAATAAATTAAATGGTAAGGAAATATTTCTTTTTTCAAAGTGAATGTGATCTACACTCTGTAGGATAAACTATTAGTTGGTAATAGCTTTGAGACTGTAAATCCCTATTCTGGCAAGTCTTTAATTTGGCATAAAAGGTTTGACCACATTAGTGAGGAGGGACTTATAATACTTAATAAACTTGGGTGTTTTGGAAATGATAACCTTGAAAAATTTAAGTTTTGAATATGTAATTGGAAAACAAAATAGATTGCATTTCAAAACTGAATTTCATAAATTCATTTCTATTCTTGAATATTTATATATTGATCTTTTGGACCAACATTTGTAAATACTCTTTGTGGGTTCACGTTTTATCTGCTTTTAGTAGATAATTTTTCAAGAAAAATATGAACATTTCTATCAAAGGTTAAATCTGATACTTTTCAAAATTTTAAGCAGTGAAAATTAATGATTGAAAATCAAACTAGTAAGAAAATTAAAGTACTACGAACTGTAATAATCTTGAATTCCGTAATATTAAATTTGATTCTTTTTGTAAAGAATCTAGAATTTTAAGATATATAATTATAACATAAACCCCTTAGAAAAATGATATTGTTGAGAGGATGAATAAAACGTTATTGAAAAATGTTAGATGTATGTTGTTAAGTTCTAGACTTCCTAGACTATTCTAGGGAGATTTTAAAAAACTGCTACATATCTAATTAACAGAATTCCTTCTAATGCTATTAACTTTCAAGTCCTTGAACAAATATGGTTTGGTACGACTTTAGAATATTTTAGACTTAAGTGTTTGATTTTGCACCTATTCTCATTAAATTGTAGGTAAGCTTGAACTTGGGTCTATAAAATGTACTTTTCTGGTCTATGAAGAAAAACCTAAGGGGTACAAACTTTGAGTTAGAGAGCAAAATGGTTTCAAGATCACTATAAGTAGAAATTTTTAATGAGAATGACATGCCCTGTGTTGTTTCTTCCATATTAAAATTTGAGTGAAACTCCGTTAGTCAAGGTAACAAATTTGGAAAATCGAAATATTGATCCTACTAAGTTTGGTGATCAAATTGAGGTGGAGACTTCTCAATTTGAAACGAATCAGGATCAAAGTGATATTGAAATTGAAAACCAGTCTTAAAATCCTACTTTAATTGATTATCAATTGACTAGAGATAGAAGTAAAAGAAATAGATTTCTTTCTAAAATAATCACTAGTGATGATTTTATGACCCTCTTCCTTGTTTTAGACTTTCAATTTTGAATCTCCTACTACATTTGAAGAAGCTGTTAATTGTAAAGAATCTTTTTTTTTTTTTTTGGAAAGAAACTATGATATATAAAATAGATTCCTTAATTAAAAATAAAACATCAATTCTCGTTAACAGGCCTAGAAATCAGAAAATAGTTGATCATAAATGGTTTGTAAAATTAAAGAAGCCGATTCTAATGTTGAAAATAAGAGATGTAAAATTAGATTAATAGCTAAAGGGTTTCTACAAAGAAGTGTATTGATTATAATGAAATATTTTTACCTATTGCAAAATATACTTCAATAAGAATTTTGCTTGTTTTACCTACTCATTTTGACTAAAAATTGGATCAACTTGATGTTAAAGCTGCTTTCTTAAATGATGATCTTGATGAAGTTATGTATATGAGTCAGCCTGAAGGTTTTAAAATTAAGACAAAATTTGAGAAGGTTTTTTTTGTTGAAAAACTCTCTATGGTATAAAACAAGCCCCTAGGTAATGGTATAATAAATTTAACTCATATATTCAAACCATAGGTTTTGTTAAGAGTAAATTTGATTTCTATTTTATTTCTAAAGGTTCAGGTGGTTCTACATCTATTTATCTTCTATTATAAGTTAATAACATGCTTCCTCCTTGCTCAGATAGAACTTATTAGATAGACATAATAAAATTAAAATTTGAGTTTGAAATAAAAGATCTAGGTCGAACTAAGAGAATTTTAGGTATGAAAATTAAAAGAGACGGAGAAAATTATACTCTACATGAGAATCAATGTTTATATGTGAATAAAGTACTTTAAAATTTCTCTATGTTTGAATGCAAACCTATTACATTGTTTCTTACAAATCACCTTAAACTTTCAAGTGAACAATCACCTAAGATAGATGAAGAATTTAAAAGAATGAACAAAATACCCTATGCTAATACTATTGTGTCTATTATGTATTTTATGTTATGTACTAGACTTGTTTTGGCTCATACATAAATATTTTGAGCATATCCATGGCCAATCCAAGTGAACCACACTGGATTGCTATCAAAGAAATGATGAGATATTTAAAAGGTTCATCTGTGTTAGGTTTGAACTTTAAAAGGTGTGATTAAGGTATAGTTTTGAATGTTTACAAAAATTCTAATTTTATAGGTGATTTAGATAAAACAGGATCTACTTCTTCTTATATTTTCACACTTTTGTGATGGGTGCATTAGTTGGAAATCCCTACTACAAAAGATGGTGGCTCTGTCTTCTACTAAGACAGAATGTTTTGGTTTAATAAACTTAACAAATGGATATTTTGGTTTATAGAACTTAAAAAAAAAAAAAAAGAAAGAAAGAAAAAAAAAAGTTAGGTTTAATTGATTACATTTTCAGTGAGAAGTTTGGTTAGGATAAATCAAAACAACTTGTTATTATCAAGTCATTCATAAGTTTTGGATTAAGTATTCAAGTTTTTTGTGATCTCAATAAATGGATTTGAGAAATAAAAGTTACTTATTTATCCTATAAGGTCCCACACGATAGGGCTTTTGCAAAGTTAAAAATTCTTCTGAGATTTATAAGTTGCTTTTGAACATATTACAATAGTTTTTTGAAAATATTTCATTTGATTGGAAGAGTATTTCGAGGAAACGGACTCAAGGTAACTTTTTTTCACAGAACTCTTCTACAAAAGACAGAAGCAGAAGGAGAAGTAGAAGTCTTGTTAAACGAGCCCAATTTTTTTCCCTGAATACCCATCTCACATTCAATATAACGATTAATTTCATTTTCACATGTGGTGTAAGTTGTTGATAAATTTATTCAATAGACACATTTTCTCATCGACTCCTTAAAACTTTTAATAAAATAGTTCAACATTAAATTCCCATTTTGTATAAATTAAAAGCTGATAAAAATTTTAAGTCATAGTCAGTAATTAATTTAACAACACATTTAATAGACGGTACAACTTTTCAACAATACATTTCATCAATTTTAATCAGAATATACTAAAAGATATAATTTTAATCTATAGAGCTAAATTTCACATAAGGTACAGGTACAGACTATGAGTTCGTGTCATTCTATGATCCTTGCATACTAATAGCTAGGAAAGGTGAAGATATGTTTAAAACGTTTGTCAAAAATCTCGATAGTTTTAGTCATGAAATAGGAACATGGCCCCATATTGAAATCTTTTCAATTTCTAGTATTGGAAGTTGTGGTAGAAAAAGACCCCAAAATCTTTGTATGCAATCTCCATCACCAGTCTTTCACACTTCACTCATCCCATCTTATCTTTTTCTACCACTTTCATATTCTCTCAATTATTATTACTTGTTTATTTTTTTTTTCAATTATTTTTAGTCTATAATATTGTTAATTGGATTTTATTGTGTTTATCGATGTTTAAAAACTTAATCGGATATTGATTTGAAAAAAAGTAAAAAGTTAAGTTATAAATGTTTAGTTTTGGTTTCTAAAAATTTTATTTTGTTTTTTCTTCAATGTAACTTAGACGTTAAAAGAGACACACCAAGTAAGTCATTAGTTTCATGAGATTTTTAATTTTATGAATGTTTAAAACTTTGTTGTGCAATAATCCGAGGCCGAATTGATAGTAAAAATAAATAAATAAATAGATAAACACGAATTGATTTTTAATCAATATAAAACAAACCTTAAACATTAAATTTGTACCAAGTGAATGATATTCACAATAACATTCTACATCTCAAGGCTCAATTGTTTTTTAACCAAATTTATCTTTTTGACGCCTTGTCTTATTATTATTATTATTATTTGTTTTTTGTGAATGATTTATATAACCCTTGGAGCCCTATTTTGAAGGGGGGAAAATGAATTTTTCAATAGTGTATTGATGGAAAATGTGTGGCTAAAAAATAAGAAATTTTTTTAAATTTATATGTAATATTATTTTATTGAAAAATGTGTGGTTAGAATGAAGTTAGAATACTGTAGAAAAATGCTTTTTTTTTTTTTTTAAAAAAATAATGGGGCTCAAAGAAGCTGATATTCTAAAATGTCACATGAGAGTTTATCTTTACCACTCAATAAGTCCAATGCAATCCAAAGTGAGGCATCCATGACCCTTAGATTCCATTGCATAAACGTTAAAAGGTCAAATTTAAGTTCCAAATAAGGGTTTCTAGGAATATTAAAGGTAGTTAAGAAGTTGTTTCTCCATATTGTGTACTTGTATTGAATGTTCAAGATATCTAGAACATTTTTATGTGTCTCGGTCTCGTCGGAAATGCACACAATTTTTTAAATGGGGATCACAAGTTTCTAGTACAAGAAAGATTAGAGAAAAAATTTCAAAATGAATTCAACAAATGTACATGATGCTTTCAGAGATTACAAACTAGAATTTGAAATGAGAAAATCTATTCAAAACTTTAAGAAACGATAAACTTAACTTTCACGACAATAAAAAGTAAAGTAGAAGTTCAGAATGAATTATCTAAATGATGATAATTCTATGTGTGACTTGTGAATCGCAAGTTTTAGAAATAAAAAAGAAATATTTGAAAAGATTACAAAACACAAAGTTTAGAGTTTCTAAATAAAAGTACAAAAGGAATTGCATTAAATAATTTTTAAATTTTATTTTATGGTAATAGATTCTAGAAAAAAAAATAAAAATATTTAGTAATGGAATTTCGTTCTTGGGCGAACCCACCACTGTTGGAGTTGAGTCGTGGTGGTGGGTGAGTGTGGATAAAACGTGCTCTCGATTGACCAATCAGAATTCGAAGAAATCCAAATAAACTAAAAATGAAATCAAAAATAAAAAACAGACCAATCAGAGCCACTGTTCTTCCCAAAGATTAAAGGGCTGCATTTGAACACCACACGCCCCCAAAATATATGAACCCCATAATTCTGTCTTCTTGATAATTTCGGAATTCTGGGTTTTAGGATTCAATTTTTGTTTATTATAATTTTATTTTCGATTTTCTGATCGGAATTGCTGGCTATGGCTGTTTCGAGCACGTTTGCAGGAGCTAAGATGGAGACTTTTCTGGTCAGCAACACGACGTCGTCTTCAGTGTCGATGTCGCCCTCGACTTCTCCGACGACGATTGGGCTGCTCTACAAGACGGCTGTGGCACCGCCAAAGCGATGTCATTTGATTAAGAATCAGAGGAGTAATTCGAGGATCATCAGCTGTGACGTTGCTTCAGATGCTTTTGTTCAGACCGTCGGCGACAAAGTGGATTCCACAAATGCGGCTTCGGCTTCCAGTCTCTCGGCTCTCGAACAGCTCAAAACCTCAGCTGCTGACAGTATGAATTTTTTCTTTTGTCCACCCTCTTTTTGGATAATCTGGATTAATACATTTTCTTTTGATGATTTGTGAATGCATTTTCATTTTAACCTTCTAAATTCGTTATCTTTCTCAATTTCTCTAATGTGAGATAATGTAACCTTTTGGCATATAAAATTGCAATGAACCTATGAAGGTATTAATGTATTAGAAGATTTTTGGTCCGGCTTAAAAAAAAGCAGCTTTTAGACCAGTCATAACGCTACTTTTACTATAGAAATCATGATAAGCTGCCTTTCTTCTGTGACACTTCAAGATAAACAATTTCGGATATTTGGAATTTTCTTATATTTATCACGTTAGATCAATTGCTGGAATGTAAAAACAATTTTTTTCTCAGTCAATTTAAGGTTTTCCTTCTAAATGTTTTCATAATGCTAAGTTTTTATATTCAGTAGAATGCTATTTGTGATACTCAATGCTTGCACACCAGCATTCCTCTTTATAGCTTGTTTGGTTGTTCTTATAACCTACTTTTTTTGAAGTATGTCTCTCTACATAATTTCATAAAAACTACGTGCAAAGCTACTTATAAACACAGCCAGACGTGCTCTTTAATAAGGAAATGAATTTCAAATATCATCTGTTGTTTGGTGCAGTGCTTTCCAGCACTATGTAGTTATGTACCAAACTTTCCATTTGAGTTTTTCCCTTTGCTTATGTTTGATTTATGACTTTATTGACACTATAACCCTGTTATGTGCCGATAATTCTTCTTCAATTTAGCACTTGCCATAAGTATTTATGTGTATTTGATTTCCCTGAAACTATATGTTTGATGTGATTTAAGGATATACAAAAGAAAGGAGCAGCATCGTTGTGATTGGACTCAGTATCCATACTACACCAGTTGAAATGCGGGAGAAACTTGCTATTCCTGAAGCGGAGTGGCCAAGGGCTATTGGGGAACTATGTGGTCTGAATCACATTGAAGAAGCAGCTGTTCTTAGCACCTGTAACCGAATGGAAATCTACGTTGTAGCTCTTTCTCGCCATCGTGGCATTAAAGAAGTCACTGAATGGATGTCAAAGGTAATCTTTTTAATAGTATTTTTTTCTTCTGTGTTTTATCGAGAATCTTGGAATTTTCTTATTGGATGATAAATGAAATTCTATTATCTGAATTTTAGAAACCTATCACATAGTTCACTTTGCTCAACGTTAACACAGCAGACGACAAGAACAACTAAATAAGCCTTCTTCCTAATAGATTTGGAGTATGCTACGTGAATCTTCTTTTTTAACTCTGTTCAATTCATTGCTAGATTTACTAGAAGATGCAAACTACAACAGGCCGTGTTAGTTTTGGTGTACCCTCCTCTCTCTTCTGAGTTGTTCAACCCATATCATGTCTCTCTTATGCAACAGTCTCTAAAAGTCTATGCAAAACATGTATCGAGCACCTAAGATGTTCTTCCCTCAATCAGGGACATACCCTTTTTCGCATATTCTCATTAACATAGAAAGTGATGAAATAATCAAATTTCTCATAGGTTTCCTGCATGTTAAATAAGATGCTATTTCTTCCTTTTGGCTTCTTATGTCTCCATAATTTCTATCTCCATCTCCTTTCTTTTCTAGTAGCAAAAGAACCTGATTTTGGAAGGGATGAGAATAAAGATTCTCTAGACCATCTTCTTAACTTTGTTGCACGTGTATTCCAAATGAACTGATTCTCATCATATTTGTTTTTACGAAGATATAGTATGAATTTTTGTGTTGGTCTTTTCCCATAATTGAATTTTTATGTTTTGCCAGACTAGTGGACTCCCTGTTTCAGAGATTTGTCAGCACAGGTTTTTGCTGTATGACAAAGATGCAACACAGCACCTTTTTGAAGTATCAGCTGGACTAGATTCCTTAGTATTGGGGGAAGGCCAAATCCTTGCTCAAGTGAAACAAGTTGTCAAAGTTGGGCAAGGGGTTGTGGGATTTGGGAGGAACATAAGTGGCCTCTTTAAGCACGCAATCACTGTTGGAAAGAGGGTTAGAACTGAAACGAACATTGCAGCCGGAGCAGTTTCTGTAAGTTCAGCTGCAGTAGAATTGGCTTTGATGAAGCTTCCCGAATCCTCCCATGCCACTGCGAGGATGTTAGTGATTGGTGCTGGAAAGATGGGGAAGCTTGTGATCAAACACTTGGTGGCCAAAGGGTGCACAAAAATGGTGGTCGTAAATAGAAGTGAAGAACGAGTTGCTGCCATTCGTGAGGAGATTAAGGATGTTGAAATAATCTACAAACCGCTGGAAGAAATGCTAAACTGTGCAGCTGAAGCAGATGTAGTTTTTACCAGCACTGCATCAGAAACTCCATTGTTTTTGAAGGAGCATGTGACAGAGCTACAACCTGTTTGTGATTCCGTTGGGGGATTGAGGCTTTTTGTTGATATCTCTGTTCCAAGGAATGTGGGCTCGTGTGTTAATGACCTTGAGACTGCACGAGCGTACAATGTCGATGATCTTAAGGAGGTCGTGGCTGCTAATAAAGAGGATCGACTCAGGAAGGCAATGGAAGCTCAGGCAATTATTGGCGAGGAATCAAAACAATTTGAAGCCTGGCGGGATTCACTAGAGACTGTTCCAACTATCAAGAAACTGAGGGCATATGCTGAGAGAATAAGAACAGCAGAGCTCGAAAAATGCTTGTCTAAAATGGGCGACGACATTCCGAAGAAGATGAGGAAGGCGGTCGATGATCTTAGTCGAGGGATTGTAAACAAGATCCTTCATGGTCCGATGCAGCATCTAAGATGTGATGGGAGTGATAGTCGGACATTGAACGAGACACTTGAGAATATGCATGCACTTAACAGAATGTTCAGTCTGGAGACAGAGATTTCTGTGTTGGAACAGAAGATTCGGTCTAAGGTAGAACAAAATCAGAAGTAAGCTCTATATCATCTTCTACTATAATTGTTCTTTCAGTGCTAAAATTGCACAATTTTTCACTAATATTAATGGGACTAGAATTTCTTATTTGTTGGAAAATTCTGGAAATCTCTAATTGGTGATTTGTCTTCACTTTGTCAGTATCATTCCATCATTGTATAATGTAATTAAGGTATTAAGATGTGAGTTTGGTCCATGTACCGGATGGTTTGTTGCAGGTGTCTGTAACTGATTAATCTGAAAATAAATACTTTCTTGATTCTGTAAATGTATTGTTATTTTCTCTTCCCATATTAATAAATGATATGCTCTATGATCATTATATTGTGGGCAAATAAATGCAGAATGAAAAGCAAATAGGGCAAAATTTATAATCTAGTTGTATTATTTACATCAATTCAAAAATCAAATAGATAGTTTGAAAATTCAAAATTCAAGTATATATTTAATTAATTAAAAATATTTATTAAATAAATATAATAAAGTCACAGTTATACGATTAATGGTCACAGATTTATTTTGTGGTCACAAATCAAAAATTTTGTAGATCACGAATTATTTTGAGATCACAGATTATTCAAATTACAGGTCACGGTTTATCTATGGGTCACATATTTTCAAATTTATTGCATTTTGTTAGTTCATGATTAATGGTCATATTTTCAAATTATCATAGATTTATTTACTAATCATATATTATCAAATTAATTGGTCACAGATTATTTCGTGGTCACAAATTAAAAATTTTGTAGATCACAAATTATTTCGAGATCACAAATCATTCAAACTACAAGTCATAGTTTATCTATGGGTCACAAAGTTTTGATGAGAGGGATAAAATCCCAAAATATAGAATTATAAGACATACCCAGAATCTGGCTCATTTTTTCAAAAATAAATTCTTATTAATAATTAGGTGAAACATGCATACCCACTCTTAGATAGGTGGAAGAAAAATAATTTCTAAATTTTTTTTTAGTCAAAGAAACATTGAATCATTAGATAAAGGAAAATAACAGACAGCATCTCAAGTTTTAGGAGTAACCATAATCAAAAGAAACGAACATAGAAATAATTCAAGGGGAAAATAAAGAGGCAAATCTGGAAATTTTAGACAATATAAGAAAGAAAAAACAATCTAGGATACTAGCTATAAAACTCAAATAAACAACCACTGGTTGAAATTTACAAAAAATCCCTCAACTCCGACAGCAATGTTCGATGAAGAGAAATTGCCCCCGACACCACACCAAGAAATCTTCCGGTGGTGACGCTACCGCGCAGGTGGTTCAACTCTGGTGGTAAAATTGCTGCATTGGAGATAATCTTCCATGGACGGCTCGATTACTGTTGAGAGAGAAGAGAGATTAGGGAGCAAATAGAGTAAGAAGCGAATGGGGAAATGATTAGGATCTTTAATTGAATTGAGTGGATTAGTTATATATAATACTTGATTTGTGAATAATAAAATTTGGTACATGATTTTTGAAATGTGATTTTTAAACCCCTGATTTTGTGTAATTTCCATGTGTGAATATTTTTCTGTTAACAAAAAGTAAAGGTATGTTTGATGTGTAATATTTTAAAGCATATGATTTGGGCTTGGAACTCGGATTAGCCCACTGGAATGCATATATATATATATATATATATATATATATATATATATATATATATATAAAATCCATTTCAGATAAGATATGTTCTCTAACCTTAAGCAAATCCTCTCTCCCTCTCTTGCACTCTCTTTTTCTCTCGTCTGGCCATTGACTTGACTGTTGGAGTGTAAGTAATTTTCGGATCTTTTTCTCAACTTGCGTCCTTTGCTTTCTAACGGAGTGTTCAGTGTGTAAGTGATGTTTATGTGGAGGGGACGAGGTAAAGATTCTATTAGTACATTATTTGGGGGACTATTGTGATACTAGTATCTTTGTATTATTACATTATTAGTATTAGCATATGAATTATATTATTGCTATTAAGTACACATGCCACATCATTGCTAGTACATCATAACATTATTTTTCAAACAGTACCGGACAAATCCTTCTTGTAGATAAAAAAAACACACTATCTCATGAATTTCCCAACAAATCCTTGTCGGTTCTATTAATTTCATCTTTGCTACGTTTACTCAAAGAATAAGAATAATTTAATTAGATGATTTGCAACCGCAATATGTCACATTAATTATGATACGCAATTGTGAAGAACTCATTTTTTCGCAATTAATTCAAGGCATAGATTCTCAAAGTTCTTCAAAAGTGTTCTAAAAAGTTCGTCTAAATGGCGGCTAAGCACGAGGCTCGGGCAAAACGACATGCTTTGACAATGAGAGCCTAATGATGTTTTATTAAATTTTTTTCTGTTTTTTTTTTTTTCAAAGTCATTTATTTTACTTTAGTTTCAAGTTTTTTTAAGTACTTTATTTGTACCAAAGTCAAAAATGAAAACACTTTAGAAATTTCAAGTAAGATTTATTTAGTTAAATGTTGAAACTATGAAAAGAGTCGAGCTTTTGCATTTCAAAAATTTGAAAATTGTATAATTGAATAATTGCAGGAATTATTAAGTAAATATAATATTTTATAATTTTAGATATTTGGTATATATTATTTTATTTATACAATTATTTTTAAAATGATTAAAATTTAAAATAATATTAAAAATAGGAAAAAGTTTTTTTACGCATAGACCTCATCTAGACCTGTCTAAACTCGTAAAGCTTGAAGTCGCGCCTAGACTCGTAAAGCTTGAAACTTGACTTTCACGCTTAGCCGCACTTCATGTTTTTTAGAACGCTGCTCCAAATAGTAACGTTTTAAGAGGTAAATTATATACGCCATCCTCAATCAATGACTCTTGTTGCAATTTGGTCCTTAATTTTTTTTTCTTTGGACTGAAGTGGTTGGTAGATATATGTTCACTAGGAAATTTTACTTCATAAATCTAGAAAAATATTATTTACTTAAAAGCATAAAATTGTCGATTTATAATATAGTCTACAGAAAGTGAGCATTTGCTCTAGTACTAAATTGTAACGCTTCAAATTTCAAAGAAAACTTATGCGATACTTAAAAAACTCATTTCATGACATTTAAAAAATAAATAAACGTAATTATACAAATCAAACTCAACTTTATTTTGAAACAATTTATAATCAAGTGTTAATGCTCAACAATGACATAAATGTAATGAATAACTAGTCTTGAAAGACAACTGCGGCATTGCTAAACAGAGATGGATGTAGGGCGTTGGGTTGGGTTGTAGCTCGATCCAATCCCAGCCTATTTAGATTTTTATGTGTAAAAAAATTATGTAAAAAGGATTTTATTTTATTTTTCAGTTTACTCTTGGATCTGCCCCTCTACATGCCATAAATTTGAAAGTATGAAAATGTTTCTTTTCCTTGCACACATACTTGTCATACCGTCAATTCCAGTCTATCGCTAACTTGGTCGGGTGGAAAGACATTAAGCCTCAATTTGGTGAAAATTAAAATCCAGATTTTAGTTTAAGTTAAAGTAAAAAATTAATTTTAATAACATATTTCATGGGACCCACAACATTTCAATCACACATATCATCAACTTTTATCAAAATCTATTAAAAATCTAATTATAATCATTACCAAACAGGGGCTAAGAATGATAAGTATTCGACTAGTAAGAAGTTTACCTCTTACATGGATATTTCTTGGAAATCTATTGCTAAAAAATTGCTTACGAAAAATCAAGAAAAAAAATGAGTGATTTGCGTGTAAATTATCCATTAAAATAACGTAAGTGTTATAGGTAGTGAGTTAGGAAGCAAGCCATAGGGAATTATTTTAAGGACGTTTTCCTAAAGTCGCGTTGTCTCTCTTTCGTAGAGGTACTTTCAACACTACTTTGAATTTGTATTAAATCTAAATTGCATTTGGAATTTTGATTTTTATTGTTCTTTGTTGTATACCGAGTTTCTATTAAATTTGGTGCTTGAAGTATACATTTTTGTGTGTGTATGCATTACATGAAAGCACAAACAATATTGTTTAAGTTGTGTAATCCGACACTTTAATCATTGTTTAATAAGATCTACATTGAAATAAATGATGTTCGACCCAACTAACACCCAGGGAGGGGGGGGTGAATAGGTGTTTGTACGAAATTTAAATTTACCGATTAATAAATGTAACAAGTTACAATTATTAATTAATACAGATAAATTCATATGCACTCTATCCTTTATTGAATTGCTGCAATTTAATAAATTGCAGAAAAGTAAATAACACGAGAATTGTTGACGAAGAAAATCCCTTGCTAAATCAAAAACTCTAGGCCCAAGCCAATAAAAATCCACTATAAACAAATCAACTTACAATACTGTCAAACTCGACTAACTTTAGTACTTTCTGACCTCTTGATTGTAATCATCAAAGCCCTCTTGGATTACTGATAAGTACTTTTTCACACACTTATTTTGCTCACAAAACATGACAAATTGTTGATTAAAATATTTGAATGTGGCTTAATTCTATGTAATTATGTTTTATAGGACTATATTGATGAATGTGCGGAATTAAATAGAAAATAATTGAAAAAGGACCAAAATGGAAGAAAAAAAGTTCAGGGACCAAAGTGCAATAGCCAAAAGTTGAACCGAAAAAAAAAACGACGACGTGAAAAACTCGAGGACAAATTTAGTGAGTACTTGAAGTATTGGAAGAAGAAAAAAAGAGAAAAGATCTAAAAGAATCAAGAATTGAATTCAGGGATCAAAATGTAACATTTGAAAGTTTTTATAACTGAATGGCTGCCTAATTATTTAGGGTGGTGACTGTCCAACATCAAGAAATAATTACCGAGGTGAAAAATTTAGCTTGGGCGACTGCCCAGGCCAATAGCAACTAAAAAATTCTGATTTCCTATTCTGATTGAAATTCTTACGGAAACAAATCTTGTGAAGTATTTTAAAACCCTAGGATCGTCCTAAAGAGAGGATGACGCATTATAACACATTCATAAGGGTTTTTAATGGAGAAAACAAGGCATGAACATGAAAATTGACATTGAGACGTAATGATTCAATTCAAGATTTAAATTGATGATATCTTTTCTTTATTATTCAGTTTGTTTTCTTCTTTTCATCATGCTAGGCTAAATTTGTTTGTATTAGGAAAACGATGAACTTTGTGATGTAATTTTTTTATTTCTAGTTTTACATTATTGGCAATACATGCAATTATTTTTCTGCATAATTATGTGCACGTGATTGTTCTCCATAATTATGTGCACGTGATTGTGTGAGTGTGGTGGCGTA